TTATTATTATTATTATTATTATTATTATTATTATTAATATTATTATTATTATTGTTGTTGTTGTTATTATTATTACCCCCATTGAAATGAAAATATAAATAGTTATAAAATGATATATGAAAGATCAGGAATATGATACTGTAAAATACTGTAAAAAAATAGCAGGCCTAAAAAATTACAACAAACTAGTCTTGATTTGATATTAAAGAACTATATTATCTTTAATGTAATTAATCATAATTTTACATCACATCGCTTTTTTTTTAATTAAAAATTGTATAGTTTGGTATAGACAAGAGTTAAACACAATTGAATGTGGTACCAATTAGCCCCAAGCTGAGACGTACCTTTTGTAGTATAGGCCGATTAAAATGTGATCTTGTTAAGATAAACCCTTTCATCTACCGACGAAAACGCCACTCTCATTACGTAACAATCCTCATTCAGAGCGATGCAAATCATATGGGTCATGAATGCAAACAGAGGCTGCCCTAGGCACACCGTAGACTAATTTTTGCTGTAACTGGAATATTTTTGATCAGTTTAGTGAATAATAATATTATAGCCCTATGTGCGTGACTAAAGTTTGAATGTTGAATTACCATTGGATTTAAAATGGGTCTGAGTATCTAGCCATAAACTACAATTTTTTTGCGGTTTTTTTTTTAAATTACGAACCAATTCATCATTAGGTTGTTATAGGTATTACATTAAACATTTTATCAATCTGCCTTGCGAAAAGAATAAGGCATGGTCGTTGAGCAAAGGAATGCTCCACTGGGAATCATTCTGATGTTGATTTATCCATATATACTGTAAATCTGAAATGTATCAAAATATTAGCTTTATTGTTTTATTTCATGTACTTATATCCTGGTAGTAGGCCTAGTCACTGATTCATTGTATGAAATGATGAATGCCCCGCTTCAGCGATACTCTTGTAGGGAGTAATTCATATTACTTGTACTATACCTCCATGCTTGTACATCGTAATTTTAAAGGCTTAGATCTGTCGACCTTGGCAAACTTGTCCGAGATTTTGTAGGCCTATTAAAATGCTGTGCCCTAAATTTATATATTTTTAAATGGCCCTAATTGTAGAGCCGGGATAGAATAGAATGTTAATTGTACATCATAACAATTGATTATAGTGCTTTTGCTCAGCTCATATATTCAACTACAGCAGAAGTAGGCCTGCATGTTTAGTGGGTAGGGTAGCAGCTATAGCTGTAATAGAAGTAGTAGCAGCAGTAGTAGCTGTAATAGAAGTAGCAGCAACATTAGATGTAGTAAAAGCAGTAGTAGCAGCAGATGGTGATGATGATGATTATACTTAATAATCATTAACTTTATTTGTCTTAATATACATGTACAAGATACATGCAATGAAATTTATTTTGGTTTCTGCTAAAAAAAAAACACTTGTACAGAAATTTCAAACTATAGTAGTAACATGTTCAATGCCGTAATTTCATTCAGGGATCTCCCCTTCCTGGTGGTTGATATCGATGACTCTGCACCAGAGTGGACAAAATTTTGGCCCGGTGATTTCTATCCAGCGATCGAAATCAGTGATGAATTCAAGGAAGCAGAGCAGCCCCCCCCCCCCATTTTTTTTTATTATAAAAAAATATGGAGAAAAAAGGAAAATTATAATGAAATTTAGGTAAGAGAGTGGCATTTCCGGCCACCTAGAGGTATTATAATCATAAATTTTCTTACCTCAGCCCAAACCATGGTGAGGTTGAGGTGGTCTCCCATCTCTAAAAGTTTCTCCCTGCCCCCCCCCCCCCAATTTTTTTTTTAATTAAAAAAAAATATGGAGAAAAAAGGAAAATTATAATGAAATTTAAGTCTGAGAGTGGCATTTCCAGCCATCTAGAGGTCCCATAGTCATAAATTTTCTGATCTCAACCCAAACCATTGTGGGATTTAAGTGGTCTCCCCATCTCTGAAAGTCTCTGCCTGGGCATTTTCTATTTCGATTCCTGGATCCGCCACTGGAAGTCATTGATTATGACTTCTACCAAAAGGCTGTTCGATCAAATGATGTGGGAGGCAGAATTCTTGAGGTCGCTCTTTTTCCGGCCATATTCCTTGTGTACACTCTTAAACGCTCTCTATCCACTGGTCTATGATTTGGTAAATGAAAGTAAAAATTTCCCCTAGTGATAGGTAGGTAAATTTAATTTATATTCTTTAATGATAATTAATTTTGTTTTAACAATTAATTCAAACTACCTCAATACACGCAGAAAGTAGGCCTACAATGTGGTTTCTGTTGGGCTACACACCGATGAACACTTTTCCCCGTTTTACATGAACTCAAAAAACTTTAACTATTCAATAGTAGACTTTTTGAATGATTAGTGGTTCTTTTATATTCTGATTTTCCCGAAAATCAATAATTTTAATTATTGATTTGCTTTTACTAATAGTTAAAATTATTAGTAAAAGCAAAATCTGCATCCAGAGAGTAAATCTTACTGTTTCGAATCAAATCTCATTGCCATTCAGGAATCATTAACAATACCTACTGGAGATGTTTATGCAAAGACATGGCAGTACACTATTCTTGCTGACCTGTGCAGCAGCTTATTTGATATGATAGCCCAAACGCGTGTATGTTATAGATTACGTGCACACCATGTTTTACCTAGTACAGTATTACCATAAAGGGCTACGGTAATCCTGTTCTGGTCTTATTAAAATAAAAAGTTAAAACCAACGCTAGCAATTTGATTATTAAGGCGTTTTCTAACTACAGTATCAATTATTATTAATAGTCGACTACGGTAATCTTTTTTTGGTCTCATAAATAGAAAAAGGTTGAAACCAACGTTAGCAATTTGATTATTAAAGGTCAACTCAGACAGCGTCGGCCGACGCAGCCCGACCCGATTTATCGTCGGGGACAGTCTTAAGCCGTCGTGAGAAATATTAAACATGTTTAATATTCTACGACGCGACTGCCCCCGACGCACACCATCGCGTCTGCGTTTAACTCACACAGGCCCGACGCGACAACAAATCGCGTCGGGCTGCGTCGTACGACGCTGTCTGAGTTGGCCTTAAGACGTTTTCTAACTACAGTTCAATTACTATTAATAGCTGCAATAAATACAGATCTAACTGATTCCCGTCCCCTTCATTCCGCATCTAGATTTGAGGAACGCTTTCTCCTTTTTCACGATGCAAAACAATTCACAAAATTCAGCGGAAAATGCAAACATATTGTGCATCTCGTTATTCTTAAGCCTGTTCAAGACCTAGATGATTCTACTTGAGGGTGGGTGTATGCAGGGAACATTTAATTTTAACTGTTCCCTGGTGTATGGGAGTGTATTTGGCCTTATTTTTAAGAAAAAGCGTAAATAAAAAGAGGCATCATCGTTCTTTTAAATGAACTTTCTAGATGTTATTATTAGCATTTGTATTGTTCTGTTTTAAACTTGCTAAATAAATAAATGAGGCTAATGGAGTCCCTTTTTTGTAAAAAAGAAAATCTGGTGTAAAAGGCAGGATTTGAACCCAGGACCATGAGATTGGAATGCTAACATCTTGAAAGCCTTACTCTAATTTCATCATGTATTGAGACGTGAGTAGGTCTGATGTGGAAAAAATTATTATAACATAATTTACAATAATGGCGATCATAAAGGCAATTAAATTTTAGAATGTTATGATAGAGACTAATAAAACACTTGGTTAAACCAACCTCTCTGCTTGGTACAGTAGGCAAGGCGATTGAATGAGGATACTTTTATTTATATAATATGATATCTGTCTCCACACATGGGGATATTTAATACCCCCATGATCTCAATGATTTGTATAGTGATAAGGGAAATCATTACTCTTATCTAGTTGCTGCATTACTTATATGTTACATTGGTATTTTTTTCCTTTTCCACAATTCATCCCTGCTTCGATCTAATGTTCATGTGTTGTGGAGTGTTTCATGCGATATTTCATCTGTATGTCACAGATTATACGGCGTATTTTTTTTTTTTTTTTGTTATATTGGCTTTGAAAGCTATGGGCACAGTTGACCCTGTGCTCTTTCATAAAGGCATTAATACATAATTTTAAAAAAAACTCACTCTCTTAAATATATATCGGGCTAATTGAATTATTATTTGTTTTAGCTGTTAAGAAGGCAAAGTAAATCTTAGGACTTGGATTATCTAATTCATTTAAATATATTATATAAAATATAAAACAAAGGAAATTACGCTACCTTTCACAGATTGCTAAAGAGTTCTTAAGCAGTTTAAGTGGCTCTCCTAAAAGATTTAAAGGCTCGGTAATCTTTTCAACACATTAATATTCCTAAATATACAAACATAAACCAGGTTTAGGTCTACCTGTAAGTAACATTTTACATTATGCTTCCTTTCAAGTTTATTGATGTGGTTGAATGGAAAGGTTCTGTGGTAATGTTTTATGACTATTAAATGATGTTTTGTTGAACAGGTTATTGCATTTTTGTTTTGAACTGAAACGTCATTATTACAATAGGCATTGGGGTGATCCATGGACCTATGGGGTTAATTTTAGGTCCATGGATGAGCTAACGACGATAATGTACCGAAGTGTGATTTTGAGTTGGAAACTAGGCCTATGCCAATAATATGTAAGGGTAAGTTGGCGAGGCGGTTTTGTCTGAAAACAATTTGGCCCCACAGAGTTGTTCTTAACTAAAGTTTAATTTATTGATTTTTATGGAAAGATAAGGGGAGACAACACACTTCTTTGATGTATAACGAGGGTTACTGTAGGTCTTAGTTTATGTCTCTCCATTGTCTCTATCTATTTTCAATTATTAGTGTACTGAAGGCCATACAGAGCTTTCAGACTAGATCGTGATTATTTACGATGAGTTGAAAGCCTGTACTACTTTGGTCTAGGCCCACATACACTAAGACTAAATAGACAAAGAAAATATGTTTTTAGATTATTTAGATTAAGATACAACAAATAAGGCAAAACTGCTTTTGTTCTGTCACAATGGTTCGTCTTTTATTTACAATACAAATTGAACTCAACATTCAAATAAATCCATATGCAGTATGTACAGCGAATGGTGACGGCGTAGATCGGGCAAGTATTGTGCCTCTAAAACCCTCATCAGTCAAAATAATGTTAGTATGATATTGGTGCCACCATGTATTTTTAGTGGAGAATACAGATACAAAAACACCAGGAGTTTATTTAGCCATGTTCACGACGGATTTTACAACAAGCAACCTGAATGTTGGTAATCACATTATTTTAATATCAATTTAGATCAATGCACTATACTTTATTGTTGGTGGCCCATTTTTACCAATTAAAAAAAAAAGCATGGAGTACGTCTCTAAACGTTCGGAGAAAAGAAGCAGTGCGTATTGTTCACCTTGATATAATATAAATAAACTTCAAAAATAATAATAATAATAATAATAATAATAATATGTCGCCCTTATATTAATATAAATATTTACTTTATATTACTGAATGTTTAAATTTACCCAAAATTAGCTTCTTTGGCCCAAATTCAGCAACATTTCTGATAGATAAGCAAAGTGTGTTATTTGTAAAAGCATGTACTGTAATATAGACCTATAGTATTATAACGAGTCACTTGTGTACCATCGATTTGGAACTTTGACCTCAAAGGTAGGTCGTTAGGTTTATGATTCAATCAGATTCAAAATGTCAGTCAGTGAGCTCAGATTGTAAATATTTCAGATCGGTCTACACGGGACTATCGGACGACCATTTTATATTCCAACCTCGTATTTTTCATAACGATTAACTTCAATCCGAATGTTGAATGTCTCTGTATTCTTTCTAGGACTAGGCCTATATTGGTTCATTACTTTCAATACCATATAAGCATAATTTGTTTTGGTATCGATGTATGAAAGGAATGAAGAAATTTTTTTAAAAACGACAATGCTGGAAAATCAACCAATACCTAATATTATTGTTACATCTTGATATTCATTGTATTATGCTGTGGATTATAGTTAAAAATTGTCAAATGTTTGATTCTTTACAGTGATATCAAATTGGTAATAGATTTACCGGTATTGACATATGCTAAAAGAAATCCCGTTAGACCCCTGTTGATGTTGACTTAATCTCAGCCTAAAGGGAGACATGTTGTCTTCATGGCGAAATGTTTCGTAAGTCAACAATCTCGTTATTATATAATTCATTAGTTCTATACAAAAACTAGATGAAATGTGTTCAAACATTTATCATTATGTTAATAAATATCAATGATTTGCATAAAATTTCTTACCATGATGTAAAGCACTTAATGAAAACTCCTAAAGAATGATAAATGATAAAATCTATCTAATTAACAAAATCATATCATGTTTAACAACTGTAAAATCATTAACCGTCAAAAATGAAAATCGGAAATTATAGAGAAATATAACTTTATTATTAACACTATCAGTGACATGTCTCTGGTATGTAGAGAGGCCTACACATCCAGATCCACGTAATATCAACTTAGTGTCGGTCCTTGAACCTAACATTGTATTTGTATATTATAAGCCCCATGTGTTTTACTGATAGGCTTAAATGGATATGAGATAAAAATATACATTTATAATATCAAACACAAACTACTGTTTTATAATATTTCGTGCGCACACGGTCTCTGTCGGATTAGGACCATTCCACTGGTGGTAAAATAGTACTTCGTCAATGCACTATTGGGCGCAGGTATTGTGAAATTATACTGGCCTAACTTTAGCTTGATTGATAATCGTATTCTGTTAGCGCTTCATTCGTCGTCATTTTCATCCCCCGAGGTCGGCGATTCAGGCGAGTCGACCGAGTCGTCCCGCGACGTTTCTTTCTTTGCCTTCATTCTTCTATTTTGAAACCAAATTTTGATCTGTCGTTCCGATAGACAAACTGCCTGTGCGATTTCGATCCGTCTTCGTCTCGTTAAATATCGATTAAAATGAAACTCCTTTTCTAATTCTAGCGTTTGGTATCGTGTGTAGGTCTGTCGTCCTCGCTTTTTGTCCGTACCGATCTGAGATGTGCCTGTCAAAGATAAATATTAATTATGATTATAATACATTTAATTATAACAATAATAATATAAGTGAAAATAATAATGATAATAATACGTACGGTACTAATTGAGTAATAATAATAATGACAATGATATGATCAAAAATAATAATCGCAAAAATAACACTAATTGTTTTTCTCAGTTTCAACAAAATGGTCTAGGCCTATGCTTATAATAATAATAATAATAATAATAATAATAATAATATTAATAGGCTAATAATAATAATAATAATAACTTCATTTGAAATCTACACTTTTGAATCAGTGGCACACGTCATGCGTTGCGTTCACAATAAAACTATAAAACCACAGACTTAACGACACATGTATTCAAAATAATTCTTAAAGGATAATTCAATAAAATATACAATGATATTTAAAATCAATTAATCTTATGCTAAGCATTTAAAAACAATTAAAAATAATTTAAAATACAAGTAAAATAGAAACGGGTAAAAGTGGTGTTAAAGTTGTATAGTAAACTTCGAATTTATTATTTTCAAGATATTGTATACTAAAATTAATTAAATGATTGAACCGGTTTGAAAGTGCTTAGAATAAAATTATAATTAAAATCATGCAATGCTGTATATTAAAAATCAGATTGTACTTAAAATAAGGTTATGTGATCGCCATGTTTTTTAAAGATATCCTTTGCATTACCGGTACTTTACCCAGAATTTTTGGTTTATTATTTTTTAATTATGAAAATGTATATACAAATCAGTGTTACTCAATGCCATTAAAAGTTTGACTTCAAGATTTCCTGGAATAAGGAATTGCCATTTTTTCTAGAATATTATTGACACCTGAAAACAATTTAGTATTTTAGTTTCTTATCTAAAACAACATTAAAACATTGATGTATGATTTACCGATACGATGCATGGAAAATAACACGACGGTGCTAATAAGATAAGGATGATTTTGTATAATATTAAGTTAGTAAATTTTTATTCGGAAATTAGAACAAGGGCATTTTATGTTTTATTAATAGGTCTAATACGTTTATCATAATTATTCTTTATACACAGCTTATGTATTAAAAAGTCTATAGTTCGCAGTATATCACCAAAGACTAAATTTTTTCGAAGCAATTTAATGCTTTAATTATATCTTAGGTGTTTTTACTTTCACTTGATTGTCATTTACAGTAGTTACAATAGGCCTGTAACTAGCACCTATATTATTAGCTGCAGTACTAAGAAATATGTCTTACCAACTCAAGATGTCATCTTTTTGTAGGAGGTGAGGTGGAGGGCGGGGGTGTGTCAACACAATGTTTACAACTTTATCATGAATTCGTTATCCTTCCTCTAAAATGCATGGCAAACAATTATGTAATCAGTAAAGTCTATGAATATAAATCTAGGCCATTTCTTTGAACACTGAACTGAATATTTCTCATTCGTATCATCTAAGCTCTTTGAGCTTGAACAATCCAAATTGTAAATTGTTGAATGTTTATTTTGTTAAGGATGAATGGTAATAGGAAAGCAGGTTAACACGAAGAATAGTACAGTACTCGTCTTAGTGCATATGAATAGGCTAATATACAATATATATGTATATGCAATGTATATAATATATATAGTCCTACGAATATTTAATATTACATATTATATACTGTACATAGACCAATGTTATATAAGACCTTAAGCCTTCATGTTGTAAATCTGAAATACTGTATATATTATACAATACAGGTCTGCATATAGGGCTATACAACCATTAAGCATGCATATAAATAGGCATATATATAAAAAGTAATATATTTTTTTATTTAAATACTTAAAAACAGTTCACTTCGTTAGTACGCCTATATATTTTTCAAATAGTTATTTGGATTTGTAATACATAATACTGGTATCTAAATTACATAGGCCTATATAGGACTATCTATACAGTATTACGTGATTAAAATATTACCGTACGTTTTAAATATTAAAATATTACGTTTTGAATATCACAGCGTTTACATATAATTATCATTTTGTGATGTTAGATTGATTATAGTTAGTTTATCATTCATTTTGGGTTTATTGTTTATTTTACTTTCTGTACTGTTTGTATTTTGATAATACACAGGCCTAGTCATTGAAAATATGGCTACAAGGACACTTGTAGCATTTAGAAAAAAGATGTGTATAAGAGACAGATATTTGACAAGGCAGGAAAGATTTGAATAAGCAACAGAAAATATCATCGAAATAATAGGCCTACTTGTCAATTGCACTACAGTAACACACAGAAATATTTGGTAATAAAGTGAATAATAGGAAATCATACATTATTATTAATATAAATTTAATTAGCGGCGAATCCCACTGGAATAGTACTACAAATCCTAGTGGAGAAGAAGAACAGTACAGATCAATCGTATTACACAAGGACATGAGCCTAGCTATTGAATAAGATCAGAAAAAGCGGAGCTCATGAGGGTCGGCCAAAATAAAAAATACCGGTATGAATAGAATTAATGATTACATCGAGTTATTAATAATTCTACAATATTTTGCAATATATTTAAGGCATTAATCTTTCCCGACTACTCAACGTCACTTCGACGCACTTTAGTAAAATATATGGGGAAACAATATTTTATGAATCTCATCAAATCGAACACGTTAACGATTTTCCGTCATTGGTTTATACTGTAGCGAGTTACGGAGATACCGTATATAACACTTTAGATAGCACAAAAGAAGACTTGAGTTTATCCCTGCCGTACATACTTATTTCTCTATATACTCAATATGCTATCCAAGGTAAAATGTAATAAACGCTATGGATATTTATATTATCATATGTCATCTCCTTTCTTGTTATATGAAGGCCATTTTACACTAATATAGCGAAACCCACGTGAGAAATTAAATAATTAATTTATCATATTTTAAGTTTCCACATAAGGCATTGTAGTCTTTTGAGGCACGTTTTTATGTAGATAGAGAAATGTGTAGAAAAATAAGTAGAGGAAGAAGTAGTAGTAAAAGAAGAAAGAAAAACAATAAAATTAGATGTTAAACTACTGTAAAATGCTAGGCATATTCATTTTGCAAAGGCAAAAATACACGTGAGGAAATAGACCAAGTTCTGTGGATAGAAGTTCCACCAACAATAGCTCTTGGAAAAAGTAAACATTATTGTTAGATATTAGGCCCATGTAAACAATCCATGACTTTTCATTTTTATTATGATTAAAACTAATAACTCGACGTCAAATTCCCTTACAATATTCAGCAGTTAATTTTGATGCACATGTGTAATAATAAAAAGATATACATTCTTGACTGGCTTTGATTGATAATGCAAAACGTAAACGCAAAGTATTATTGGTATATTTTCATGAAAAAAGAAAGCGTAGGAAGACCGAATATCACACAAATGCAAATATAGGCCTACTGCGACTGCACTGTATGTGTCTCCCGTCGGAACTTGAACCGAGGACCTTCAGAACAAAAGCCTATCCGATTGCGCTTGATATTAGAATCTTTAATTAAGAAGGTCTTGACTGTAGTCCCACGATACTTAAGGTGGAGGCATTATCACATTTTCAATAATATTTCTTTACTTCTACATCGCGTTAGTTTTCAGAAAATGTTAGTAAAAATAGTGAACACATAAGCGATGGGCCTATTATTGAGATAGGGATACATATGCTAAATGCCTATGATTATTTTAGCTTCATTATTGCAATATGTAACTAATATCATGAAGGAGGAGTAGGGAAATAAGTGAACATGATCTCTCCTTGAAGTTCTACATTCTATCTTCCATGTTTGTATATAACACCTCGGAGAATTATAAGTATAAGCCACATTAGGCCTACAGTTTATAAAAGAAGATGTAGAATATGTACTGAATACATTGTTTCTTAAACTTATAATTAAAAACGATGGCTGGGCAGTGACTTTGTACGGTAAAATGGTAGAAGGTTGGAAGGTTTATTACCGTATCGATCACCCCGTCATTGACCAAGTTCTTTCTGAACCTTGACTACTTACGATTTTTCTGACACGTTCAACTTCGATAGTGAAAGTGATGACACCTTCCCCACTCCCGAACACTCTTGGAACAATACACCTTTCCGGAGTGTCAATCAAACTTAACAACTGACTAATCAGAACAACGCTAGAAATACGCGCGCGTCTCACAAACACACGTGTTGTCCCACAAACGCACGTGTTTGTGTATGTTTTAACATTGTCGTCTTGTGGGACCTTAGCAAAAATATCCAATGGGCGGGGCTTAGCGGAAAGGTCCATTACACATTAAGCCCTTATGAGGTGTAAAAAAGAATACATTTTGCAAAATGGAATGTGTGAGAAACATGAGTTTGAGCATGTTGACAGTTAAAAGTAGCCCAGGGCCATACGATTTAATTTTTAATCCTCTATTGTTAGTCTGCCCACTGCGACCGAAGGATAATGAGAAAAAAACGAAGCACTTTTGGAACCAAAATGATCTCTATAACCGTGAGAAAAATATATGACATAATTAGAAGCTGACTCTAAGTAATGAATATTGATTGATAGATCATCTTCTTTTGTTTAAATTTTTCAACATTTATTTAATTATTAGAAAGTGTCAATAGAGTGAAAGTTTCAAGTAATTCAAGAAGAGCGCACATGCAGAGAATACCAAGACTGCAGTAGCGCCAAGTTGTTTGTTTACATCAATATTGAACATGTTTCTATCTAAACAAACACAAATAATCTGGTTAGGCTTAACAAAATAACAAAAAGCTATCGCTTTGGGTTTTAGGGTCAGTTATTGAATAGGCCCAATGATTGTAAGATGACAACGAATTATGAATAATAATCTGCAAAACTTTATGATTTTGTTAATACATGTGTTTACAGATAAATGACAATAGGCCTATACACTGCTTGAGTCTGTTTAATAAATTACGTTAGTAGCAATGTACATTTATTATTATAGACTTGCAATGAGATGCAACTTGT